GGGTAATCGGGATGGGTGTGTCAGAGGCAGTGCGGTTGACGCAGGATAGAGCAGGGTTTAGGGCTGTTGTGCATAGGGTCGCTATGAGTCGGAAACGATTCAACGGCGCATAACAACAACAACAACAGTTAACTGCTACAGAAGCTTAGTCTTTAAAAGTATCTGTCTTGGGGAATATATTTAAATGAGTTTTTAAGCATAAAAACTCTTACAGTGGTCAGAGGAGAAAAAGAAATTCTAGGACCCAAGGATGGAAATGTTAAATTTTAAAATCTGCTTAGTCTAATATTATAATCATCCCAGCTTTATTGAGGCTGCTATTTGCCTGATAAATATGATTTAATCCTTTTGTTTATTTGTATTTTTTTAGTAAAAAAATATTTCTTCTATAGAAATTATCGAGTTGAGAAAGGAGGGAGGGGGTAGAATGTGCAACAATGAATGAATGAAAATGTAACTTCTCTGTAAATATGAATTAAAATCACAATTAAAAATAAATTTTATTAAAAAAATAAATTTTATTTTAAAAAATTTATAGAGTTGAATTTTTTTTAATTCATCACTATGATTATCTGCCTTTTTGAACATATTGTGTTTATTATATTTATGTGCAATGTTATTATTGATCTAGTTGGGTTTGCATTTGCTTTTTGCATTCATATGTCTCATATCTTTTTTTATTCTTCTATTCTCTATGTGCTTTGCATTAGAATATTTATAAAGTTAACTAAAACTCAAGTAAGCACATAGTAAGAAAAATTGATGTTTTTACAGATACATTCTTTCCTAGACAGATAAATAACACCTTTTTCCTCTGGTTCACTTAGTGAAGGAGGAATACGCCAAGACCGTTTAAAACAGGGATTAATGAAATACAGAGCCCTATTGAGACAAAACCCATTTTTATTTAAGCAGGGCTAAAATTAAGCAAAGTGTTTTTCAATTAATAAATTTTGAAAGAATGTTTAGGTTGTACTTTCTTTTGGGCTAGTAAGTAGTTTGTTTACCTAGCTTTGCAAGATTGCTTATTTAACATTTGTGTAGAATTCTGAAATGTGATCAGCATGTTATTATTTATTAGCACAACTTAGAAGTGAGAAATACTGATTCCAAATGCCCAACTGTGTCTTTGCTTTCTGTAGTAAGCATCTTGGAATGGTTCTTTTTCCTCTTCTAGGTCTAGGAGATGGGATTGCATAGACTGTAAATACTTCCATTTTATTGGAAATATACTGCAGATGATGTCTCTAAGTAATACACTTGAATCACTTTTGAGGTATAGATGATGATTAAATACAGTGGCATCCACTTCTTAACATGCTTTTGGGAACCCTATTAACTTTGATAAATATGATAGCTATTAAAAGGCTTCAGGCCTTTGGTTTATAGGGTTGCTGTGAGTTGTGCTTGACTGAATGGCAGTCAACAACAACAACATACCCACATCAACAAGGTCCCATATAGTGAGGACAAGCACACACATAATTTCAGTTACAGAAAAAGAAGCAGAGATGGGCTTAACTAACAATTGCATGGCTTCCAAAGAGGATAGATTGATGTTGGATTGTCTTGAAGGACCTTGAAGTTGGTTAGATAGACATGAACTATAAAGGACTTTTCCATGAGGAAGAGAAAGCATTTGAAAGTAATTATCTGAGCATACAAAATCTGAAAGGCCTTTGTATTGCCTTAGTTAAAATAATTTTAAAATTTGTTAACCTTTTCTGGAAATTAAAGTTCTCAAACATTGCACATGCTTGTTGATGTTTATATAGCAGTGTGGTTTCTAGGCTTTTATTTAAAAGCTGTGGGATCCTGGCAGCTAATTAATCCAACTGTCCTCCTCTTCTGTGGGGGCCAGTGTGCAGTGGCTGTGAACAGCAACTCCTTGGTGGTGTACGCAGCCTGTTGCATGTATGGCTTGCCCTTAGGGACCTTGGAGACAACTCCAAAATTTTTTAAAAAAGAAAAAAAGCTGTGAGATCATAAGAGCCGTTCAGATCAGCAAAGAGATCCTGAAACTATGTCACTAAATGTAGATGATATGATAATGTACACAGAAAACCCCAAGGACTCAACAAAAAAAGTTGTTAAGAGCTAGTAGACCTATTTAGTAGAGTGGCAGGTTACAAGATCAATACACAAAGGTCAGTGGGATTCCTATATAGGATCAAAACACAGGTAAGGAAACTAAGAAAGCAATATAATTTATAATAGTCAGCCACAGACTGCGATATGTAGGAATAAACCTAACTAGAGACACAAAAGACATTTACAAAGAAAACTACAAAACACTTTCATGAAAAATAAGAAAAGACCTAAATAAATGGAAGAATAGTCCCTCTGCAAGGATAGAAAAACTCAATATAGTGAAAATGACAATCCTACCAAAAGCAAGTCTACGTGTTCAATACAATCTCAATACAGATACCAAATTCAGTTTCCTAACAGATAGAAAGGCAGTTGTCAAGTTTATTTGGAGAGGAAAGAGACCTCGAATAAGCAAAGCACTTCTGAAAAATAAGAATGAAGTGGGAGACAGAGCACTCCCTGATCTCAAAACTTAACTACACAGCTGTAATAAGCATAACAGCATGGTATTGGTACATGACAATAACAGGCACACAGACCAGTGGAACAGAATAAAGAAATGAATCCATCTTCCTATCTATGATTAATTGAAATTCAACAAGGAAACAATGTCTGCCAAATGGGGAAATGATAATCTCTTCCATTTATCAATTTTATCCTCTCTTGGTTGTCTTATATCTGGCTTTATTTGTCAACCTCTTTTATACCATGGGCTAGGTCTCCTAAGTTTGGTCCCACTTTGTCTTTTATGAGCTTTTGGTTTGGGGCTTTATGCCAAGGTCTCTGATCCGCCCTGTATTGATTTTTGTGTATGATGAAAAGTGTGGACCCTGTTTCGGCTTTCTGCAAGGCACTTGTTGAAGAGATTATCGTTTCCCCATATCGCAGTCTGTGGCTGACTGTTTCTTGGAGATTGACACAATGTTAGGAAGGGTGGAGGGTTGGTGAAGAAGAGGAAGGCCTTCAACCAGGTAGATTTGCATGGTGACTGCTGCAATGGGCTCTTGTGTGTCAGAAAATGTGAGGATGGCTCAGGAGTTGTACTTGACTCAGCAGCACCTAACAACAACAAGTGCGACATGGACATCTTTCTTTGTAAAAAAGTCTACTGCTTAATGGCTGGTGTAACATTTTTAAATATTATTATTACTGATGATATAAGATGCTGCTACAGACTTTAATTTCTGTTTTTTGCATTTTGGCTGTTCCACTTTCTGTTTTTAAAAACAGAACTGCAGTGAACTTTCTTCACTGTTTATCTTTGTAAACTTTTACAATTCTCTCCTTAGAATAGGTTCCTATAAATAGAATTTCTAAGTCAAAGAGTATAAAGCTAAAAACCAGACCTGTTGCCATAGAGTTGATTCTGACTCTTAAGGACTCTATAGGACAGAAGGTTTCCTAGGAAACCACAGTGTTTCCTAGGCTATAGTCTTTATGGAAGCCGACTGCCACATCTTTCTCCCTTGGATTGTCTGGTTAGTAAGCCAAGGACTTCACAGCAGCCAAGTCCTTAACCACTGCTCCGCCAGGGATCTCAGAGAGTACACACTTTTTGCATTTTTATAGTAATAATAAGCATCATATTAACCATTGGGAAATAAATACAGATAAAAGATAAAGTTTGTAGATTGGCATTTCAGAACAGTTCTGAACAACAGCTTGTAGTTCATTCAACAAGCCTGGGAGTTCACATACTTAATGGATGAGAAGTCTGAGGAGCTCACCAGGGTTGTGACCTTCTCAGAATATTCAGTAAATCTCATAGATTTTCTCTCAGTTTCTTATACCCTATCCTGTTGCTCTGACAGTCAAGGGGATAGGGTATGTATGTCTTTGTTACTGTAAATCTTTAGGAAAGGACAAACATCTTTTCAGAGACTGGTTTTATAGATTTTTAAGGCTTCCTGATGTCTTACTTAATGAATTCTCCAACTGAAAGTGATTTTAATTTATTTCAACTTAAAAACCCCTTTTATCATTATGTTTTTTAAAACTGGCAGATTAGTGTTTTGCATGTCTTGTAAATTCTTAGGAATTTACATCTCTGAGGATTAGTCTAGACAGTAACCTGCCTGAAGAAAAAAAAAGAAAACAACAAACTGAGATCGAAGTGTGTGGATAAAAATATTTAAAATGTTTAGAATCACCATTTATTCTAGTCATTCTTTTTCTTTGAAGCAGCTAGAGTAAAATGTGGCCTCGTAGATTAAGATAAACTGTCTAATTACTATGAGTACTTGATACCTAACCATTTAAGAACTTGACATCAGATAATTCTTATAATATCACATTAAAACAAAAACATTCAGCTATGGCATTTGAAAACCTAAAACATCTGCCATGAGCTCCACCTATTTAAAAAGATGTCAGAGAAGTAGATGAGATCATCTCTATCTTCAAAAGTCTTATTCTGCTTATTTCTGTGACATTTCCTTTTGTATTTTTATTTTTAAAACAGTATCTGCTGAAGGTCAATGAAATTAAGATCAAAAAGGGAGTGGATTTACTTCAGAATCTGATCAAATATTTTCATGCCCAGTGCAAGTAAGTTTTCTTTCTTTCATGTAACCTTATATTAATGTTTTTCTGTTTCTGGCAATTTGTAGTAGAACTCTCATATTATGGGAAATAACACACACTTGAAAAGCTGTAGTAAAAGGAATGAAGTCTCGGTACATTCCGTCACGTGGATGAACCTTGAAAGCATAATGCTAAGTGAAAGAAGCCAGGCACAAAGGACCGTGTCCTGTGTGATTTCATTGATATGAAAGTCTAATAGACAAATCCATAAGGACTGAAAGTAGATCAGTGGTTGCCAAGGTTGCAGAGAGGAGGGAATGGGGAGTGACTGCTAATGTATGCAAGGGTTTCTTTTTGGGGTGATGAAAATATTGTGGAATTAGATAATGAGGATGGTTTCACAATTGTGTAAATATGCTTAAAGCAACACTGATGCATGGACTTTAAAAGTGTGGCTTGATGGAACAAAAATTTTATTGCAATTTACTCTGTTAAAATCTCTAGTAACTAAGTGCTGCTGAAACAGATACACTGCAAGCGTGTGATGTTCTCATAGTTTGGAGGGCTAGAAGTCCTAAGCCTGGCTCTGAGGGAAGTTTTCTCTGTCTCTGGAAGACAGTTCTTGTGTCAGCTCCTGTAGCCCCATTATCCTCTGTTTCTTGGTGATCTCTACATGACATCTGTCTTTCTCCAATTTGTCATTGCTTCTCTGCATGTCTAATCTGCTCTTTTTATAGCTTAAAAGTCTTTGAGGTTTAAAACACAACTCCAGTCAATATGGAATCATTAACATAATAAAGAAAGCCTTATTTCCACATATTTGGATTCCAGTACATAGTTGAGTGGGAGAGCCAAAATTGAGTCCATATCAATTATTAAATATTTTTGTTATTTATTAAAAGGAGTATATTTAGTATGTTCTACCTAACACATGGTTCTCTGACTTTTTTTGTTCATTAAACGAGGAATTAGATGATGCTAGTGCTAGATGTTAAACTCAGAAAGTGTTTTTTTATTTTGTTTTGTTTTTTACAAAGGTACTGTCTTTTTATTTGTGGGTTTTTCATTTGGGAATAGAGGCGCAACCTCTCTGGCTGCTTCATGCTGAATAGGGGTGTTCAGATGAAGGGAGAGGGGACCCCACTTTAACACTTAACTGAGTAGAAGCAGCATGCCTTCTTGTTCAGTTAGAAGATATTTTCCTGATGGTTTCTGCCTTCTGGACAGCAAGGTGTTTGTGTGGGTGAGTCCAGTGGAAGTGGTTGGCTGAACTTTGAGGCTCCATCTACCTTAGCCTCCTTAAGTTGCAGTTATATTTCCCTTTTGTCTCTGGAACCAGGCTCAGGGTTCAGGTTCTGGAATAAGACTCGTTGTTCAGGTTACCTATAGGAAAGAAGCAAACCTGTCTGCATGGATCTGCTGCTTTGCAAACAGCTCCCACCCCTGCCCTGCAGTCTTGATGGCTCAGAGATTCCAGACAAAGGGACTCCCCCATTCATTAGCCTGTTCACGAGCCCTCGAGAAGACAGCTTAGCCAGAAAATGTTTTAATATGTGATTTACCCCATAAAGCAAATAATGAGTAAAAGAGTCTGTGTGTAGAAGCGCATTGAGGAACTTACATGCTCTCGGACCACCCCCAGGCCTCAAGTTTGCATTATAATTGGTTGTTGCCACTGAATCATTTCCAACTCATAGTGACTTGATGTGAAAAAGTAGAATGGCCCCACAGGGCTTCCTAAGCATGATCTTCATGACAGCAGATTGCCAGGTCTTCTCAGAGCTGCTGTTGGCATTAAACTGTCAACATTTGGTTAGCAGCTGGACACTTAACTACTGCATCATGAAGCCTCCACCATGTGTATTTGTTCTTGTGCCATCAAGTAGATCCCAAGCCACAGAGAACCTTTAGTGCCAGATAGAATTACCCTTTAGGGTTTTCTAGGCTATAATATCCACAATCATAGCTGACCATTCTGTGGGGGTTTAGAGACTGTAAATTGTACAAGAGGAGACTGCCCATCTGTCTCCCTTGGAGTACCTGATGCTTTTAAACCACCTGCCCAATTCCTTACCCACTAGGCCACCAGTGTTCTCTGTACATTGTTGTTGTTGTGTACCATCAAGTCAGAACCAACTCATAGCCGACACTCCAGTGGGTTTCCAGAGGCAATAAACTGCATGGAAGAAGATTGGCCATCCTTCTTTTCCTGCAGCACAGCCCATGGATTTAAACTGCATGCCTTTGGGATTATAGGAGAGTTTCTTCATTCTTTACAATCTGACTTTCATCTCTCAGCCTTGTTTTCTTTCCTAATCTCCATCATCTTTAATCCCAGTACCCATTTACTAATATAAATAGGTCTCTGGCTCCTAAATTCATGAAGCCAACGAACTTTTATTGTATACATGCTGTATGATAGGCACTGAAATAAATGTTAGCATTTTTAAAGTTTTAGATTTTATTCTAAGTGAGCTGGTGAAACTTTTGAGCTGTTTGAAGCAGTAAAGCCATTCAGTATGTATCTTTTGAGTTCCTACTATGTGACAGGCACTATTTGAGGTCCTGGTTATACAGTGAGGAGAGAAATAAACTTCATACCCTCATTGGCTTTTCCATTCTTTGAAGAGAGACAAATGATATCACATAAATACATAAATGAAAGAGTTATAGGTCCTGAAATTGGCTGCTAAAAACAAGAACCAGCAATGCATTCCAAAAATAAAAAATGGCTAGGCATAAACTGTGACAGTTGAAGCAGGTAGTAGGCTGATTTGAGAAACGTTTCAGATTTCACATTGCCACACTAATCACAGCTCACTTTTGTCTGGACAGATCTATTCAGATGCCCTGATGTACCTTCACATGGTGTTCTTTTACTGTCATGTTGTTCTCTTTCCTCTGTGCCTTCCTCCCCACTTTTTTGTTGGATCCTAGAAGCTAACTCATACAGGATTTCTACATTCAAGTCCTGCTTATCTTCCAATGAAAAAAAAAATTACTTCTCTTCCGTTTATGTTGCCACTATACCTACATGTATCTACGTGTATACCTACATGATATCTATGTGTGTCTCCCAGAAGAGTACCGTCTTGGTGTGGGAAGGACTACGCTTCTGGTTTGGTTTACTGTAATCTACAGTACATTGCACTGTTGAATGGAACTGTAAGGTCCGTTTGGAATTCTTAATACAACTTTGATGACATTGCATTTCTAAAGTGGTTGAAGTCAAACAGCAAAGGATGTGCTGCTGGGTGATTCATCCTGATTAAAAGAAATGTTCCAAGCTTGGAAAAACAGTCACAGTGGATAAAAAAGAGGGCCAGTTGGTAGAATGTTTGAGGTGAATTATTTTACAGAGACACAAAATCCTAACTGTAATTGATGTGCAGAGTACTTCTTCAGTTCCTATCCTTGTAACCTTATGTGAAGCAATTTAGGAAGTGGGTTGCTTCCTTGCTGATATTTTATTTCTACAATGCTATTCTTGGATTTCCTTTTTTCTTTATTTTGCCCAAACTAATCAGTTGAGTAGCAACAGAGCACTGGTGGAAGAATGTAATGGTTGGCCTTTTATGGGCATGACCTTTTAAAATGATGAGTCTTCCAATACTTCCTATTTGGATGAGCGAGAGAGAGAACATATACAGAATACTGTCCAGAATTATTTTAGCAGCTTGAACTCTCTTTATTCATATTTTCTGGGGTAAAACGTGGGACCTGCATGGCAGCATTAGACAAAAGCATTTGTAGCCATGCATATGTTGACATATATTGTGGCTCCTTTGGATACCTTCATTTAGCGTTCCTCATCTCCAGTTCTAACCCCAAAAAGCACACTGCTCTGTGAGACCCAAGCCCTGGTGAACAGAGGCACACCAGCTTAGCTGATGCCCTTATAACAACACTGGTTTTTCTCTGTAGCTAATAGGCCACTTTGTGGAAAACAGATTCTAAGAGCCTTGGATTTTGAATTGCTTCCTCTTCTGTTACTGTTAATCAGATTTGCCTGGTGAGTCCATGTGTGTCGGAGTAGAACTATACTCTGCAGGATTTGTTAATAGTTGGTTTCTTTCCCCCCACACCCCCTTTTTGTCGAAAGATCAGGCTTTTCTTCTAAGGTGCTTTTAAGTGGATTTGAACCTCCAAACTTAATTAGCAGCTGACCTTGCACCAGCTAGGGAATGCTAGAACTATATACTCCAAAACTAAAACTCACTGTCATCACTGAGTCAGAACCAGCTCATAGATGAGTCTCCAGCAAGTTCTTGGGAGGCTGTGAATCAAACAGACGGAGATTGTCCCTCTTTCTCTCTCAGAGTAGCTGATGGATTCTAACTGCACACTCCCTACTCTCTAGAGCTCCCTTTTGTTGGTGGTGGTGTTGTTACGTGCTGTCACTTCAATCTTATGAACAGTGGATCTAAACCTTGTCCTGTCCTGTGCCATCTTCATCATCTCTGATATACTCGAGACCATTGTTATAGTCTCTTTCATTGACCCTCTACCTTTCCAAGCATAATGTCCTTTTCCAGTAACCCTCCCCTCTTCACAATTTCCCCAAAATATGTGAGATGAAGCTTCACCATTCTTGCCTCCAAGGAGTACCTTGGCTGCGCTTTCTCCATGACATGTCTGTTCTCTTGGCAGTCCGTGGGATATTCAGTACTCTTCTCTAACACCACAGCTCAAAGGCATCGAGTCTTCCTCTGTCATCCTTAATCATTGTCCAGCTTTCAGATACATTACAAGTAATTTAAAAATGGCTTGGATCAGGAATATCTTAATCTTCAAACTGACATCATTACTCCTAAACACTTTGATAGTAGATTTACCCTCTGCAATGCGTCTTTTGATTTCTTGACTGCGGGAGCCAAGTTGTGGATTATGGATCCTAGCAAGATGAAATAATTGGTAACTTCAGTTGTTTCTCCATCTATCATGATGTTGCCTATTGGTACAGCAGTGAGGATTTTTGTCTTCTTGATGTTGAGATATGATCTGTATTGAAGGCTGCAGTCTTTGGCCTTCTGCAGCAAGCATTTTAAGTCCTCTTTGCTTTCAGCAAGAAAGGCTGTGCCATCTTCATAATGTAGGTTGATGAATCTTTCTCCAGTCTCATGCCACACTGTTCTTCATAAAGTCCAGCCTCTCAAATGATTTGCTCAGCATATAAATTGAATAGGTATGGAAAAAGGTTACAGGCTTGCCACACACCATTCCTGGTTTAAAACCATGCAGTGTCTCCTTAGTCTGTTCTGATGACAGCTTCTTGATCTAAATATAGGTTTCATATGAGCAAAAGTAAATGTTCTGGGATTCCCATTCTTCTCCATGTTAACCCTAGTTTGTTATGATCTACAAGGTCAAATGCCTTTTCATAGTCAATAAAGCACAAATAGATATTACCCGCTTTCAATCAAGGTCTGTCTGACATCACCCATAATACCTCTGGTGCCACAGCCTCTTCTAAATTTACCTTAAATTTCTGGCAATTCTCTATTGTTGTACTATTCTAGCCTCTTTTTAATAATCTTCAGCAATATTTTGCTTGCATGTGTTATAAATGATATTTGTCTACAAATATTTATAAATGTCTACATTCTGTTGGACCACCTTTTTTTTTGAGTGGGAACAAGTTCTTAAGACAGACTGGTGAGAACATCCAGGGCTTTCTGTTTGTTGAAATACTTCAATTGGTATCCCATCAATTCTTGGGACCTTATTTTTCAGCAATTCCTTCAGTGCAGCTTGAACTTCTTCCTTCACCACCATTGGTTCCTGATCATATGCTGCTTCCTGAAATGTTTCTGTGTCAGTTAATTCTTTTTGGTACAGGGAATACTCTGTGTATTTTGCCTATAGCATACTTTAGTATTACAGTTTGAGTTGAACTATATAAATATACATTCTTTTGTACTTACCCCCCCCATTTTTGCTTTTTTATTTCAGGTGTTAAAAAACACTTTCTATTTGTCATCTTCTCCCCTCTCCTTTTTCCATTTATAGAAAGTATCTGTATTTTTATGAAGTTCCTGAAGCATTCTGAAAATTTGTCTTGGTGAATTCTACAAATGAAGATGGAATAGGGCTGATTTTCAAATTATAACAATACAACAGACAAACAAAAATGTGGCAATGAGGCCTCTCTCCATATTTTGAGGAGAAAGGTCATCCCTTTGGGGATGTAACCGTCGAATAAATCTATCTTTACTGTTTTACCCTCAAAAAAAGAAAATGTTGTGGTAATTAGACTGTTGACTTCATCTGGTCTCTAAGCAATTGTTATGATCAGCAGGGACTTAAAATACAGAGTTGAATGGGACATGGGTGCAGGTGCCCTGGAGAGGCTTGCTGTGGTGAGATGCTGAGCAGGGCTCAGGCAGGCGGATTGGGCAGCAGATGTAAGTATAGTGTGACATTGTAAAGGCTGTAAGAGAGCGCTGAGCACCATGCCATAGAATTCAGAAAGCGAGCGGGCATCCATGTTTGTAAAGCTCTCTTAGTGAAATCTTGGAGTATGCATTGAAACAAACATAAAAATCCCAAAGCTGTTGCTGTAGAGTGAATTCTGAGTCATGGATTATAGAGAAGAACTGCGCCAGAGAGTTTTCCCTGCTCTCCTCTTTATGGAAGATGATCCCCAGGCCTTTCTCCCACACTGCTCCTTGGTGGGTTTGAACCACTGACCTTTTGCCTAGAAGCCCTCAGAGCAAACTATTTATGCAGTTCAGGAACTTGATGAATCCAAAGGGTCATATTTTAAAGGTCTTTGAATGGCATCAGTGTTTTACATCCAACTGCTGGTGGAAAGACGACTGATTCAAACCTATCTAGCCCTGCAGATGAAAGGCCGTGCAGTCTACTTCCGTTGTAAACCTGTGGAGCGGCTTACTCTGGGTCACCACGATGCCAACATGTTACTTATTAAGGACTTATTGAAGATTTGGTCTTGTAAGGTAGAACATCCTAAATACAAAGCAAAATCCAATATTTGGTAACTTCTTTGACTGGAAACAATGTTAATAGGTTCAGGTTAAGGAAAATGTGCTAGGTATTTGAACTTAGGAAGGCCACTATGATGATAGGAAAGCACAAGAGGTGTGCTCCTTCTGCTTGCTGTGCCTTAGTGCCAGGGCTCATTTCATTTTGGAGATCTGTATATCTGTACCAAAACATGCCTCAATGAGAAAAGTACAGAAAGGAATTTTGAAAATTAGAGGGAGGATGTTTTCTGAGTGATCATCAAGATTGACTCAACTTTAATAAAAGATAAAATTTGTATTTTTTTTTTATTGTTATTACTGCAAGCACACTGTCCATTGTTGCTCAGAGAATAATAATCTGTGACAGGAGGCCACACCCCTGACCATTTGACTTCACTACACTACACGACTCTCCCTCATCACACTGAGAGTTGCCATGGTTTCCAGATTCTTAGAGCTGTACAGGTGTCTCCGTTCCCTGGAAGCATTTCTGCGTATAACTCCTATAACGTACTTTTAACTTTCACCATCTATCCAAGAGCACTGGAGGCACAGCAGTTAGTGCTCAGCCAAAAAGGTTGATGCTTTAAACCCACCCTAGCACTCCAGGAAAAAGACCTGATGGTTGGCTCTTGTGAGGTTACAATGGAGGATACTCTATAGGGTAGTAGCATGCTGGCACCTGAGGCTGCTTTGAGCCAGAATTGACTCATAAACAACACAGCACCATACAACTGCTTCTCTGGGTGGGGCACACCGTTACATAGTCAACTAGTAGACAAAAGGTTGGCAGTTTGAACCTACCTAGAGATGCTTTAGATGTTTGTCCTGGTGATCTGCTTCGGAAAGGTCACAGCCTTAAAAACCCTATGAAGCAGCTCTACTTTGCATTTTCAGTGAGTCAGAATTGACTTGACAGCAACTAACAGCAGCATTCCAGAATTACCACTCATATTCTTCCTCACTCCCTCTTCCTTTCTCCCTTTCTTCTCACTTTCTCTCTTTCTTGCCAGTTTCACTAGAATTCAAGATGATTAATATTTGCATCAAGGGGAAAATGTTAATAATACAAACCATAATAACCAGAGAATTCAAAATAGAAAGTAAAGCTTAGTTTCTCATCCCTTCATCTCTGTAAATTGTTTCTGAATGTCCTTTTCTGTTTAAGAGGAGTACCTGCTGTGTACTGGCCACTGTGTTGAAAGCAGAAGTTCTAGAGATGAGTAAGACCCTGGCCTTGAGGTCATAGTGTGACAGTGGAACTAGACGTCTGTGCAGATAAATAATTCTAGCACTCTGGCATAGTTGTTAACCCACAGCATTGTCTGTATGCAAAGGGGAAAAACAGTAAGGTAAAACATGGGAATAACAATATAAAGTATTATACCTAGTAAAGTAAGAAAACTCTGAGCCTCTGGGGTATTCCTAATAACTAACTAGGAGTGATTCATAACCCATACCATGGATGTGTATCCTTTGTAGATGATTCCTTCTTTCCTGCTCATAATTATTGTATTAAGTACCGCACTGCATTGTTTTCACAGCTCCACCTGTTTATTACACCTTCGGTGTGGGCTAAGTCCCATGGACCATCACTTAGTTTAAAAGAAATAAACACCACCTCACATGAACACCTGTGAAACTCAGATCACTTTTGGAAGATAGTCTCCTTGGTACTTAATAAACGGGCAGAAGTTGGTAACTTCCCTCTTGCCCTTCCTTTCTTCAGTAATTTATTTCTTCATTTCACAAATATTGTATGCTTAAAAATGCCTAGTCCATTTGGAATTTAACATCAGTTAGGGGGATTGATTTACCTACCACATTAGAAACTATATGGATAAAATTTGCATAAATGTTTTGAAATAAAGGTATTAAACCCCTTATGACCCTTGAAGTAGAGGGTTTATGAGAGGCTTCATTCATTCAGAAAGTGATATTTAACTTGAAACTTGAAGAGGACCTGGGGAACCCTACCCATATAGGCATGATTTAGGCAGAAACCTTGAGGGAGAAGGAACAGCACGTGCAAAGAGCTTAATGCAGGGAGAATGTAGTAGTTTAATGGAGTAGTAGAGAGGAGGTCAGAGTGTCTGGAACATTGTGGATGAAGTGAATGGAGAGGGTAGATAGATGGCATGGAATGAAGCAGGGGACACATGCAGAGACCTTATCACACAGACATTATGGACCTTGTTCCAGGCTTTGAATTTTATCCTCAGTGTAGAGGGAAGCCTTTCTTCATTCCTGTGCATGGTACCCTTCAAAGATAGTGCTGCACCAGCCTGCTGTTGGTGCACAAAACATTGTCTGGCTTCTGTTGCCAGTTGTATTTCTCGAAATGCTTGTTATACTTCACAAGCATTGAGTTCTACACTTCAAAAAAAAACAAACAAAAAACTCTTGTGATATTTGATCTCAAGCTTTACAACCACGCTTTCCTACTCTGCAGAGAGAACATGGTCTCACATGTCCATCAGAGAATTGCTTTGTTTTTCCACCCAGTCTTTCTCATTTTTACTTTGCAATTGCCTGTCGAGGAAACTCCTAATTATCTTACTCTTTGGTTTTTCTCTCTATCCTTTCTGGGCTCAGATGCTTTCATTTGGTAGTCAGAACTAAGCCCTTGATGCCATTCAGCAATAGAATCCTAATTCTCATTATAAAGTGGAAATTTAGATCTTAAAATGTGTGGGTGAAGGAAAAAACACAAATACTTAGACTTACTAAAATTCGTTTTTTATTCACTTCTTTTAACTTTGTCACTTCATTACTGGTATTTGAAGATTCTGTTCATAGTCTTTCCTCCTAGAGATTTCATAATCACTTTAGTCATTTTCCTTTGACAGTTTTCTCATTAACGAAGCACAGTCTATGTTGATTTCTTCTTTTTTTATCCCTAGCTTTTTCCAAGATGGACTAAAAGCCGTTGAAAGCCTCAAACCGTCCATTGAAACCCTCTCCACAGATCTTCACACGGTAGGTAGTTTCTCTCTTGCTTTAGTCTTGCAGCAGTTTTTATGCAATAGACATTTTTATTTAAATGTTGCTTCCATGTAATCTTGTGTTTCCATGCTGTGCTATTCAGAAACTAATAGCCTCTAGTACCCCATGCAGAGAACATAGTGGTGAAGCTCCCATTCTTAAACTATCTTATCAGAGGGAAAACTGTCTTGTCTGATGAGAGGAGTCATTTGTTGTATTTACATAGAAATGCCTTGGAAATTCTAGTATTTCCCTGTCACCTCAGTCTTAACCTTATCCTGTTGTTTTTTTAAAAGATCAAACAGGCCCAGGATGAAGAAAGAAGGCAGTTGATACAGCTTCGAGATATTTTGAAATCAGCATTACAAGTTGAACAGAAAGAGGTGAGGGGATTTATATTTGAAAGATGCTTTATTTTCTACTAATGTCTTAGAATACTTTGGGACAGAGGAATGTAAAATCCTTATCTTCTAGGTATTCAGAGTTCACTGTCTTTCAAGATCTTTATTCAGTAAAGTACTATATGAGCCTTTTTGCTCTGTTAGTTGCTAGATGAGTATCAGATTTTTCCCATATAATGCACCCATGCATATAGTGCACGTAGGAAATGGATATGCATGAGGTTCCGCAGTTAAGAGAAAACACATATACCACACATGCTATCTGCATAAAACTGAAGTACTTCTTAGTGTCGTGTATCACGTAGAACCGTTGTTACCTATACCATATTGGTTCTGGAACTTTTTCATTTCTCTAACCTGATATAGTCTCTGTAAAATTGGACACAGCACATGTAAAAAATGATTCTTCCGGTCCCAAGGTTGTGTGTCCTAGAAACGCAGACTTGGGTTCTCTTAAAGCCACTTTCAGATGAAGTAGAAATCCTTTATGGATTTTCATTTTGGGGGTTTGGGTTTGGTGTTTTGTATTTTTTTTTAATTGTTTCATTTCATGAGTCATCTGCGTGGTAACACATCAGTGATGATAATTTGTGTTTTCGGGGCTCATTGGGAATAACATCTATTCAATTATTAGGGAGTAAATTTTTTAGATCATTTTATTGCTACATTAGCCACAGTGTAGATACTATAATATTAATATTATTATAAATCAACCTCTTTGACAATAAAGGGATATATATATATAAATGTATTTTTAGTAGATATTAGAAACCTAACTACTAAAATGTGTACCAGAGCTTAAAATTCACACTTGGCAGTTTGGTGTATTCTACTTGGTTTTACGTTCTTATACTATAACTGAATATCATTGTTTTCCTCCCAAATGCATTTACCTTTTGTGACCGAAGTCTAGGAGAGTAAGTAGTTCATATTTTAATAAATTGGAGAATTTTGCATGCTGTCTTCATAAATGTAAATGAAACATTTCTCCTTATATATTAATGACTAGTGATGTTCATTTTAATCTTTCATTTGTAGTATTGTTGTGTTGTTGTTAGGTGTCTTCACATCAGTAGTTCTTCTGTTGACCTTGTCCTTATCCACCTCTCAACTGCATAGCAAGTAACTGGAAAGATGAGGGCCTCACTTCCTTTGCTGTAGATTTTATTAAAAACTAGAGATTTTAAATGTACAGTTGTTCGTAAAATAGACATGTGAGCATCACACTCTCTCCTTTCCACTGCTTGTTTAGAATCTGTACATCTTTCTTGTCCATCTTGAGCCCACCCTCAGATCAACCCCACCCATAGTGATCTGACTTCATACTGCACATTCAGTTTAAAAGACTTGCTTTAAGTATGGTATATCCTTTTATTTTTTATTCTTGGCTCGTCCTCAAGTATGCAGAGGCTTTTTCTGCACCTAGTGCTGAGCATCTTGGAAATTCCCTCCTGCCGTCTGTGCCTTTCCCACCATCACAGAACACTGCCACAACTCTCACCTAGTAGACTTTAGATAAATGTAGATCAGCTAAGTGAAGGCTTTGCACATTGAGGTTGTATGTAATGCTGGAAATTAGCCACAACATATTGACTCAGAAAATACAGATTCTGATGGATTTGATAATACCAGGCATAGATTATAAGCAGAGAGAGAAAAGGAAAAAGAATTTGGAATTTGGTGAAAACAGTATTCTAATTTGAACTGGGAAAGGTAGTGCTAGGCTTGGGAGGCAGAATGCCATTCAGTGCACTGACTCGTCATGGTTGAGAATGGCTTTTGTCATAGGAGAATTGAGCTGGTGAGGCTCAGTTCCAGGTTTAAATAAGGCAGAGTAAATGCTGGAGTGAAGCAGCCTGCTGGGCGCAGGGCAGGGTCTGTGTTTGCTTTGGCTGTGCAAAATTAGGAGATTTGGGAAAACTAGCTGTTGTCAAGGAGCTGGGTTATTTATGACTTTGTAGAAAGGCATAAAATATTTACTAGCACAGACCAGAGGTCTTTTATGGATTGTTATTTTTATGGTTCTTGTCGACAAAACCATCTTCCCTGGATTGCACAAAGAGGTTAAATGGCCCTTTCTTTACTGCTCCTGTTTTCCGTTAAGTCTACGATCAAGCTCACCAGGCTCACTGTTGTTAATGTGTTGGATTTTCTGTATATTATACTCTGAGTTGCTTTTTCATTAGGATGTTCTACAAATTTAACATTTTATGAACACAATTGCAAGTTAAGAAAATGCATATAAATTGAATTTTCTGTATATTTTTTAAAAATTTATAACTAGAATTATCATTAAGGGTAAAGAATAACAATTTGAAGACTCAAATGATCCTGTTGCAAACCGTGGGATTATCAGTTGCTTTTCTGTGCGTGTGAAAGTTGAACAGTGAATAAGAAATCTGAAGAATCGATGGCTTTGAATTTTGGTATTGATGAGAGGTATTAAATATATCATGGACTGCCAAAAGACTAAACAAATCTGTATTGGAGAAGGTGCAGCCAGGGTGTACCGTAGAGACACCACACTTTGAGCATATTGCCAGGATGCATCAGTCCTTGCAAAAAGGCATCATACTTGGAAAAGTTGAACGTAAGTGAAAGAAAGGAAAACCCTCAACTGAACAAATTATTAACACAGTGACTGCAGCAGTGGGTTTGAGCATGGCAGAGACTGTAAGGAGGGTACAGGTTCAGACAGGGTTTTCATATGTTGTTCATAGAATCACTATGAATTGTGGTCGATTTGATAGCACCTGACAGCAATAACCACCGTGTTGTGATTGGGATTTTTGTATATTAAGAGCCACCCACTATTGTGAGTTGATTCTGACTCATAGTGATTCTATAGAATAGACTGGACTGCCTGAAGAGATTCTCAAGCTCCTTCTCTGAAGGAGCACCTGTTGGCTTTGGATCACTGACCTTCAGCACAGTGTTTAACCTCCAGCACCAATAGGATTCCAGCAGGTTTTCTTGTGTCTCTATAATTACAAAGGGAATTGACCATTTGGACATATTGTTTGGGCTTTCATTTTCTTTGATTGGATTCTCTTTTGTGACTTGAGAAAAATGATGGTGTTGATGGTTTTTATTCAGTGGTAAAAAAATTTTGACAATAAAATTACAGGTCATAATGCAACGCAAGGGAGATAACATTGATGGTGTGCAAAAATCACTGCTCCTCATTTTCTTCCTGTTACTATCAGACATCAATCATTTGGTCTAAGTGAAGACTAGTCATTACAGTACCGTGACATTGGGCTGCTTTTCTTTGTCATCCTGTGCCTGTATATTGGTATGGACACTGTGTCATTTTGATCCTAGGACACCGTCGACAACAGTCATATTTTGCTCTTGCTTTTTCATTTTTTCTTACTAGATGGCAGACTGTGTGTGTGTGTGTGTGTCTGTGTGTGTGTGTGTGTGTATTTTGATTTGGTTTGGGTGAAAGTGAGCAAGTGAGTTTTCCATTCAATAGTTTCTTGTATTTTGTTTCATGGCATAATCCCTTTACTGTAACATCACTCTTCTCACTTCCTCTCTGTTTCCTGTTTCCATCCTTTTTTTTTTTTTCCTGCCCCTTCCTGTGTTCTTGATGTTTTCTGCTCTATGGAAAGAAGTTACTACTATTTGATTTTTTTTTCAGTTTAATATAAAAAATTTTCAAACTTGTAGAAAAGTTGAAAGAATTAGTTCGTGAATATAGACCTTGATTTTTTTAATTAATTTTATAAAAGTTTACCGAGACTTAGGGTTTCCAGTCATTCATTGTTGCACTTTTCTCCCTGCCTGCCCCCTCTCCCCAAATTCACTCTTCTCCTTGACAAGTAAAAGAAAAACTCTTTCATAGTTATGCAGTCCCTTCTCCCAAGTCCACTTCACTGTGCAGCCTTCATTTGGGACTCCTCTCGTGACAATAATACCCAATCATATATCCCTTTTAAATGGTTCTCTCCCGCATCTGTTTCAATGCAGTATGCATTATTCCTCCCCTCCTTCTCTGTCTTCCCTAAACCCCGATGTCAGTCCCATTTTACAACAGTGGCCCTATGCAATATTTGTCCTTTTTTGAGTAAGATATTTCACTGAGCATAACGTCCTCCAGGGTCACCCATTTTGTATAATATTTCATGACTTCCTTGTTTTTCAATATTGCATAGTATTCCATTGTGTGAATATACCAGAGCTTCTCTATCCATTCGTTTGTTGATGGGTTGTTTGCAGCTCTTTGCTATTACGAACAAAGCCACAATAAACATGGGGTGTAAGACCTTGATTTTTTGAAAAACTCTTTTCATAAATTTAAAACTCTTAAATGCTGCTCATTTTCACATGCCCGTTCTCTCTTGTCAGCCTTGTCTGCTCCTGCCTCTATTATCCTCCAAGTTCTTCATAATCACCAGGTTTTGGTAGGATGAGTCCCACTGCAGTGCCAGTGAATCCTCTTAAAATGTGTTTGATCCTCAACTCTTGGGGGCAAGATTCAGGCTGTCCGTGCCATGTGATCTTAGGTCACAGTGCTGAAACCACAATGACCTTTCCACTTTAGAGTTCTCACTTGTGATATTTTTTTGGTTTGTAAATTTGCTTCTTCTGATTCAAAGTGTCATTGACTCATAGGAGGGAACTCTGGTTGTGCCTCTGTAACAGTTCAAATCCACCAGCCACTCCTCAGGAGGAAGATAAGCAGTTTCCTTCTGTGTGATTTAGTGAAAAATCTAGTCACTGCTTCTGGCCAAATGTCCACTTCCCTGCCTCTCCTGGCTTGCCTGAACCTGACTTTCATTTCTGATTTCGTAAAGACTCGTTCATTGAGTCCCATATTCAGTAACTAGAGTACCTGCTGTGCATTTTCTCCAGGCCAAGCACTGCACAAACACTACACCTGGGTAAATACTCTTCTCATCTCTCAAAGGAAGCACACACAGTGTGAGGGTGGGGACAGAAAAGTAATGGAGGGTATGGTGTGATGAGATATATAA